CATCCCTTCCTCATGATACATTATATCATCCCAAAGTACAATCTATTTCAAGTAGAGGAATAATTTAATTTTGTTGAATGTAAGTAATAATGGAAACTAGAACCCATCTCTCAACCTAAGGGAATCCAGTAAGAAAAAGGCACAACATATCTCTCCAAACCTGTAACAGACTTTGGTTTTCCCCGACCGGACCCACAGGGATGATGAGTCGACCGCCAGGCTTCAACTGCTCCACTAGCTGAGGGGGAGAAAACAAGGAAAGATAATAAACACCTTTTTAGTTTAGTTGACAAACAGACTATGTAATACTGTACCCTGCGAACATTTAAGAATATTATAAACACAATTTAAAATCAAATTCTGAGAGATAATTAAAAAGGTACTTCTTTTTCTTTCTTCAATATGACAGGAAATGCAGTTTCTAAAACACTTGAATCAACCTAAAGGCAGAAGTATTCTAAAATGTGAAGAATACAACCCCTGGGGTACGAACAGGGTTAAATAAGAAGAATAGGTCCACTCACAGCTTCGGGTAAGGTGGGCGCAGCAGCTCCAACGTGAATGGCATCGTAAGGGCTCTCCGGCTCGTAGCCCTGCCGGCCGTCTCCCACCACCAGCTCGATGCGGCCCGACTCCATGAGCATTCTGGTCACTGTGTCCTTCGCTATGTTCTCCCTCGACCACTCCACCAGCTCAGGGATGTGGTCAATGCCCACAGCCTTGCCCCCTCTGCCAACCTAAACTCACAGGAGGAGATAAAAACATACTAAATGAAATCTATTAGTACAGTGGAACGCGAATTCAACGAAGCCTTTGGGCCAGGCCTTCAATTTAGTTGAATCCGAGTGTTTGTTATAGCAAACATCAGGTTTTTGTGTAGATAATTACAGGCATCGAGCAAGTAATGTATAATGTATTTGATTTCTAAATCAAAATAATATTTGGTTTCAAATGAGAGGCATTTTCATTTCTTCGAAACTGAATTCCAGAAAAACACAGTACTCTACCAAGTGCAAAAGGGGCGATTCGTTCAAAAGCAGGCCTGTGTCATCTATCATAACGTAATGTTTTCCAAACAAATTATGTTGCTGTGTAGAGCCTTGCATACGGTAACGTTTGATTCCACAGTCTAGCGCGCAATTCATCACGTAGATCTATGCTAAGATAAGCTTATCATTGTAATATTGATCAATAAAAGGGGAAAAAAACAAAACGTGTCGCGTTTATATCTCTACTGACGTTCCACGGCCAGATCGCTTGCACCCCCACCCCCCCAATCCCCACAGACACACGCACATGCAGTCACAAGTCACACCTGTGCTGGCTGCCCATCCGACCCTAACACACACTAAAACATTGGTGCGTGCTAATAACGAGTGTTTTAGTAAGAAAGGAAGCCACCGGTTGGTCCTAAAGAGCAGTTCGCCCTGCAAGCGACTTCATTGAATCTGAGCCTACTAATTTATGTGTTCGTTGAATCCGAGTTATCTTTATTGATTTTTATGAATAGAAAAAACGGGAAATCCAACTCCTTTCATTGAATCTGAGTTTTCGTTGAATCCGAGTTCGTTGAAACCGAGTTCCACTGTATAATGTCAATGCGATAAAGGAGAAGTAGCATATGGAACAAAAACAGTCATTTCTACAAGCAACACCAATCTTGGGGTCTATCAGGTTTTTTTTAGATCACACGCATCCTTAACCAATAAGGACACGGAAACACTGGGGTGAGGCAGGATTTATAAAAGAGTTCAGTACAAGGTTGAGAGGTAAAATGAACAAAATCACTCGATAGAACCTACCATGAGCCCCATACAGGCTGTGAGATAACCACTGCCAGAGCCAACATCAAGGGCTTTATTTCCTTCAACAAGATGTTCAGACAAGAGCTCTAGAGCATGGGCATGCTGTGGAAAAAAGAATACACATCATACAAATCAAAACTTTTAGAGAGAGGGACGCAGGCCTGACATACTCTTAACACTACCCATATAGTGCTAACTTGGGGAAAAAAAAAAACCCAAATTTTTATAAGAAAAGAACTGTTGAAAACTTCTTGGGATATTTTCAAAGACTTTATTCATGTTGTGAAATCTAACTTACAAAACCAACTTAATTCTCTAGAAATAGAAAGCCATTTCAAGTGAAAATTTTTTAAAAATTATCTGATGTGATTAACCAGGTTTTGGCTCATCTGCATGTGAAAATGTTAATTACTGAATGACCTGCAATGGATAAATAGGCCTAGAGGGTTAATAGTCGAGTGCATAAAATGAGCAATCTGACAAGTTTCTAAATCAATCTAAAACAACTTATTGCCAGGAATTATCATAAACATCCAAAGTTATCCAAGAAGTTAGAGGCAAGTACAGATCCTTTGCTACGGAATATCGATATGCCTACAATATCATAATTTTTCTAAAAGGGTGGAGTTGATAGATCTATGATGAGGTGGTAAGTACAGAACATTCGGAAAGCACAGTTTTATGTAAAATCACAGAAGATTGGAAGAACTGCAGAACAGGCCATTTTTATTTTTTAATGCAAATCTGGTAATATGATAACTTTGTTGGTATGGCAGTAAAACAGGTTCAGAACCGAGGACTACCCAAAAAAATTCGGTAGAAATAAGTAAACCTGTGCATTCTATTTTAAGACTTACTGTGTCTTCTTTTCCAAGTTCATCACATATGGATGGATGTTTCAAGAATAAACATTTTTGAGTAAGAAATATAAAACACGATAAATCTGAAAGCACGTTATTATGTATTATAATAATATACATATATGAACATGAATTCACAGCTAGCTCTACTCACCATATGAGGAGCACTGATAGTGACGGAGTAACCAATACTTTGTGGAGAGTCTGCATATGAGTTCGCTTTACAATAATGGGCTCTGTCCACTTTCTTCATGGCACTCAAAACACTTTCAGATTTGATGATTCCATTTCCTGAAATTAAAGCCAACAAAAATGCTGTTAAAGGACAGAGATGGTGTGAAAAACACTGAGAAACATAGCCAACAGGTACCTTAACAAAGTGAAAATCCTGGAGAGAAAGCAAAAGTGGGGAGAGCAAAGATGTACACAGAGAGTTTGTGTGTGTGTGAGTGTGCATGTGAGTGTGCATGTGAGTGTGCGTTTATGTGATGAAAGAGTGTGTGTCACAGAAATTAAGAGGGACAGAAAATAAGACAAATCATCGACCATTAAAAACACAGCCACTCTCGGTGGCTGTCGGGAAATGATTGATTTATACAACTCATTATTAAGTATTAAGTTATTATATCTCTATAAATTCACTTTCGTCTAATGACTTTACTTTCTATCATGTCACCTTAGTTTCACAGGCAGTAAACTGATAACATCTCCACATCTCCACAATATCACACAAGCCATGGACTAACAATGCAATTCCATGTCTCCCAAACAAAATTAATTAAGAAATACTGAAATACGTCTAGTCCATTTTTTTAACTTTCAACTCTTCCTTAAGGGAAACAAATACAGTTTTGAGGATTTCAGTTTGTATTTTCACTTCAAAACTGTGTCTTTATAAGTCATTGCATTGTCACAGACCGACACTTCTGGAATCAATGTGTTATTTACTAGATCTATGTAAAAAAACAAAAACAAATCAGAGCGATGTCATCAAGCAACTTACATAAAAGGTATATACTTTTTTTTTTTTATCCCTTTGCGCAGACATGCTGTACTGTGAGATTTAATTCCACATTGTAGGAAATTGAAAATAGGACTAAAATCATCAGTCTAAGCAGGATTATATTATGTAGATCTATTTTTAGTTTATTCCCAGGCAAATGAATGATGATAAGGAGGTCACATCTTAGGGAATTAAAGACAATAAAAGGGAGAAATTCAGATATCCCGTGTTTTCTTTTCACACTTACCAACACTTTTTATTGTATCTATCAAAGCACACAACAATTTCTAATATAACACAATTCAAGTAGAAGCTGTATCAAGGGGTTAAATAGCACTAGCCTACATAATCTTGTGTATTTTTATTGATACTCACTGGCAAGATTCTCCACCAAGTTTACATTGTTGCTCCCACTGGAACGCCAAGCCATGATGAACGGCTGGGGCAACAGGCACAAGAGAAATGTCAAGCCACTGGAAACTTTCTTCAAACTGTTTCTCCACCACATAACTGAGGAAAAAAAACTGTCAGCAGTCAGCTGTTAGTAATTTAAGCAGAATACCACAGTTTCCAAAACGAGAGCCTTTTAATATTTTATGGCCATGCCATAATCCAGCGCTTGTCACGAAAGACAGGGAGACCAACAAAGAAAAAAAAAAGACCTCACATTAGAATAACAAAAACTTTTTTTGTATCATCCATGTTAGCGGAGAAAATGAAATAGAAAGGCAAGTCTATTAATGAATGAGAGAAAGTAAGGACATACATACAACAAAAGAAGGGAAAATGGACTGCCAATTTGACTCATCAGGAACAGCCAGATTTTCCATTAGACGGAGGAGAAAGCAACAGTTTGGCGCAATACTCAATACTACCCGATTCAACTAAATTTGACTCTGATCTTCAAGAGGCTACCACTTTCATGATTTCGTAAAAATACTACCCAAGTCAACTAAATTTGATGATATGACGATCTTCAAAATTTATTACACTTGTTTTTCAATTTTTCAAGGTTGTGAGTCGAATCAGTCAGAGCCATTTCATGAGTAAAGCCAATCATAAGGCTTGTTGCTATGAGTCACAGGATCAGGGTAATTTTTCTTTAAGAGTGCAATACAATAATGGACAGTGTTGATTCAAACAGGTTGGTAGAAATAAGAAAGAGATCAATATTCCCCATGTCTGTGGGATTCAACAAGTTCTCAACAATCACAGTTGGCAAAGCCATTATTGAAGGAAACTGCTGTGCTGTGAACAGTAACTTTTGTGTGCAGCAACACTAATCGGAATCCCTGCTTGCCAGTCAAAGTTTTCTTTGCTTCAACTTTCTGGTAAAATTTGAAGCAAAACCGGATGGGTTTATTTGATAAGAGAAGTATGCACTGAAGCCTCTTAATTGACCTTACCAATCCTGCCCATTGGCATTTTTGGTAAAGACAAACATCCCCACGGTATTGACAGTAAAACTAAAAATACACATTGTTATAGTATTTCCATGACCAGCATTCTCCAGTTTTGGCCCCAAGAATACTGGAATATCGATTATTGACAACTTAAATACTGGTATGAATGCTTTTTCCGAAAGAGAGCGAAAGATGCGCCGCTATTTTTCGTAAAAAATGAGCAGAAACATTTCACTCGTTTTTAAGGGGAGTTTTATGGGGCATGCCCCCTGATCTACTTAACATATGGGGCGGTTTCATGGGGGCATGCCCCCCTCCTGAATTTAACCATAATGTTATGTTTTGCTTAAAAATTAGTTCTGATGTCTCTCCCGCTTGCCGCATGTTAAACATTATATCGGCACGCACAGCAAGATGTTTCAATCATTTTGAACAACTTTGTCACTGGGTTTTTTTTGTTTGCTTTTTTTTGGTTGGGGGGGGGGGGGGGAGGGGGGGTGCCTTGAGTGTGTTGCATTATTTGGGTTCACAGTTGTCAATGAGGAAACAAGAAGGATGTGTTCCATAATTTGGGTTCAGAGTTTTACGCAAACCTAGATACAAATAATACAACAGGAAAACGGGGGGAAAATGAAAGAAGTCAAGGTCATGAAGTGAGCCAAGCATGTACTGTGCACCTAGCTCAAGGGGCCCCCGAAACTAAGCACCTGGTTACCGTGTATATAAGGCCTCTAAGTACTAAGAAAACGTGTCTGGTTACCATGTAGACGGTAGTTAACGTCCGTAAATTCGATTCATGAGAGAAGTTAGAGGCTGAGGTGAATTAAAAGCAAAAGACAAAGTTGAGTAGGCCTATGTCAGCAACATCCCAAGAAAGTACAAGAAAAAGTCATTAAGTCAATGAACTGTCAGGCAGTGACGGTGTCAGTAGTCACAGTGTCACTCTTCAAATCACTGTCAGTCTCACTTGAATAATGACGAATGATGGTCGCTGATTCTGATTGAAATTGAAACTGTTTTGTAAAACAATGGAGGCAAAGTCAATGACAAAAAAGAGAAGCAGATCCAAACAAAATGAGTAAAACTTTCTGTAACACTGCAAAGAATGTGAACCTTTAGAATTTTTAACTTACAGTGATGAAGTAACAACAATCTTTACTAGAATTTCAAAAGAAAGCTTGTTATTAAGTCGTCATTTCGAAAGGTTACACCGTTGGTGTCATTTCCGGTTGTAGGTGATTTAAAAGAGAAATAACTGGTATAATAATACATCTTCTGTCTTGTTCTGTCTTATTGCTGTCCCTTTGACCCTAACAATCTGCACACGCCCGCACACACACGCGCGCGCGCGCGCGCACACACACACACACACACACACACACACACACACACACACACACACACACACACACATACAGACACACAAACACACACGTACAAATACAGACACTTACCTGCACACATACACACGTACACACATACACAAATAGACAGACATAATCATGCACTACAGTTCGGTCAAAAATTCGTGGCCCAACTTATCCTCAAATATCTTTTCAGCGGTTGAATCATTGGCACCCATACTTTGCACAACAGTTTGTACCAATTTGTCACAATTTAATCATATTTTCCACAACAATTGAGGCTAGATTGTTTGAATCTTCAGTTTGAAGGCATGCATATAACTGAAGAAGATGTGCTCAAGAAGCTTGCTAAGCTAAATCCCAACAAAGCCTAGGGTCCAAACAACATCCCATCATCCATCCTCAAACAATGTGCCACTGAACTAGCTGCCCCGCTGGCAACTCTAATGAATAGGTCACTGCAGGAAGGAGTTATACCATCCAAGTGGAAGCTAGCCCATGTTTCACCTATCTTCAAAAAAGGCACACACAAAAACAAAAACAAACAAAAAACACCCCAGGAAACTATCGTCCAGTGAGTCTAACGAGTGTGGCCTGTAAGGTATTGGAATCCATCATCAGAGATCAGCTCATAAAACATTTCCCGCAAAATGATCTGTTTAGCAACTGTCAACATGGTTTCATGAGCGGCAGAAGTTGTTCAACCAACCTGTTAGCGGTGCTCGACCTATGGACTTCAATCATTGAGGCAGATGGCTGTGTCGACACCATTTATCTAGACTTTGCTAAGGCCTTCGATACCATCCCACACGAACGTTTGTTGAAAAAACTGGAAGGCTATGGAATTAAGGGGCAGATTCACGCTTGGATAAGGGACTTCTTGACTGATAGGCAACAGTGTGTGGTTGTAAATGGAGAGGAGTCATCCTGGGAGCATGTGCAGTCGGGAATCCCTCAGGGAAGTGTGCTAGGTCCGTGTCTATTTGTATGCTTCGTCAATTACCTCCCTGAAAATATCCTCTCTGCTACTTTTCTGTTCGCGGATGATACGAAGATTTTTGCTGAAGTACCCGACTTTTCGGACAACCTCCAGGATGACTTGATCAGACTCCAGTTCTGGTGTGATGCGTGGCAATTGAGGTTTAATGCAGAAAAATGCAAGGTTATACACATTGGGAAAAATAGAAACCCATGCGAGTACAAGATGACATCCAAAGGTGAACGTATCACTCTAGAATCTGTGAGACTATAAAAAAAGACCTAGGTGTGAATATTGATAGTGATCTAAAATTCAGCAAGCACATCAGTATCCAAGTCAACAAAGCTAACAATCTTCTAGCACTGATCCGGAGAGGATTCACAATGCTGGACAAAGTGTCCCTTTCTACTCTGTACAAATCAATCATTCGTCCTCATCTAGAATATGGAAATGTGGTCTGGCACCCCAGACTTAAAGTTGATGAAGAACAACTTGAAAAAGTGCAACGTCAGGCCACCAAACTAATTCCTGAACTACAGCACCTTGCTTACTGCGATCGTCTCAGAAAATTGGATCTGCCATCGCTGTACTATCGTAGAGCTAGAGGCGACATGATTGAATGTTACAAGTATTTAAATGGAATTTACAACGTAACAGGAGATATTTTACCCCGCGATCTTCACTCTAACACCAGGGGACACAGTCTAAAATTGAAAAAAACCCATGTGACAACAGCAGTCCGCCAAAACTTCTTCAGCGTACGCACAGTTAACGTTTGGAATTCCCTACCGGAAAATGTAGTGTCTGCACCATCCTTGAATGCTTTCAAGAATAGGATTGACATGGTCTGGAAGAAACATAAATTATCTATGAACCTAGATTGGTTTCAAACTACCAGATCCACATGCCATGAGCACTAACCTACAGATACCAGAGTGTGAAAACAACGTGCAGGAAGGAATAAGCAACGAAAGCAACGAACGGCTGATAGGCGACTAGCCCGACCACAGCCGTACTTCATGCTACTACTATTATACTGCTACTACTATATTAAAAACTTTTATTCATTAAAAGAGTTATTTCCTAGTGTGTAAATCGCTGCCTTGGTCACAGCTCACCTCCAGCCCCTTCTGATGCCAAAACTAGTTACAAGAAATTAATTTTATTGTGAACACTTTTTTTTACACTAAACGTTCTCAGCGTTCAATAAAGATAATCTCGCGATTAGAAAAAACAAAACAAACGACAGACTTGTTGTTAAAAGCAATATTGTCCCAGCTGTAAGCCCTTTAAAAATCAGTAGACACCCCTCCCCC